GCGACGAGAAGAGGCTGATCTGGAACCGGAGCCGGTCGCGCCGGTCGCGCCGGTCGCGCCGGTTGCGCCGGTCGCGCCGGTCGCGCCGGTCGCGCCGGTCGCGCCGGTCGCGCCGGTCACGCCGGTTGCGCCGGTCGAGCCGGTTGCGCCGGTCGCGCCGGTCGCGCCGGTCGCGCCGGTCGCGCCGGTCGCGCCGGCTGCGCCAGCTGCGCCGGTCGCGCCGGTTGCGCCGGTTGCGCCGGTCGCGCCGGTCGCGCCGGTCGCGCTGGTTGCGCCGGCTGCGCCGGCTGCGCCAGCGGCGCCGGCTGCGCCAGCGGCGCGTCGATTGGGATATCAACACAGACATCACAGTCGTCATGTCGCTCTCCCGTCGTGTCCCGTGGGTGGTGTCATGATCTCGTGGCGTGGCGTGGCGTGGTGTGGGGTACGGTGTGATGTGGCGTGATGTTGTGTGGCGTGGTGTGTGGTGTGGTGTGTGCGTGTGTGTGGTGTGGTGTGGTGTGTTGTGGTGTGTGTGTGTGCGTGTGTGTGTGCGGTGCGGTGTGGTGCGGTGCGGTGCGGTGCGGTGCGGCGTGGTGTAGTGTGTAAGTGAGGTCGGTTGCGACACCATCACAGAGATCGCACTTGCCATGTAGGTGCCCCATGGGAGGTGTCATGAGGACGTGATGTCGTGATGTCGTGCCTTACTGCGGGGGGGATGCCCGGGCAGACTCCTGCCGGCCTTAGTCAAAATGAAGAACACGAGAGGCCGCGGGGGCAGGAATGGAGGAGGGGGAAAGGAGGGCCGAGAGCGAGGATACCACATCAGGAGCAACCATTTTGACATCGGATCTCGAATGTGTGCGTCGCGAGCTACGCCTCGTAGTCGCCGACGCATCGCCGGGCCGGCCCGTCGGCTGCGCCGGCGCGCACCGCCGCGGGAGGAGCAAGAGGAAACGATGCGGTACTGCGTGCGGAAGTCGCATGCAGAAGGCGCTGGAAAAGTCCCCGGCCGCACCCCGCCCTGCAGCGGATGGCGCGCGGAAGCGTCGAGTACACAGAAAAACTGCGTCAGCAGCCCGGGTGTGCGTGCAACCCCGGGTGCCTTTCTGCGAACGCAGCGGCGGGGAAAACGACATGCTTGAGCAGCTCGGGCGTGCGTGTAATCCCGAGTGCCTTTCTGCGGGAGCATGCCCGTGGAGACTTCTGCCGGCCCTCGTCAAAATTAAACGCGAGAGGCCGCGGGGGCAGGAATGGAGGAGGGGGAAAGGAGGGCCGAGAGCGAGGAAACCACATTAGGAGCAACCTTTTTGACATCGGATCTCGAATGTGTGCGTCGCGAGCTACGCCTCGTAGTCGCCGACGCCTCGTAGTCGCCGACTCGAAGATAGAACAAGAAGGAGAGAGGTAAATCAACGTACACCTCACAACAATGCCGTGACCCCCCAACATATCGTGGCCAACGATTGTGAAAACCGCTCTTACCAATCTCATCAGGGCGAGGCATGCAAGATATTTGAGGCACCAGACGGTATCGATACCGATGCTTCATGGCCCTCTCCTGGGGTGCCTTCTGACCAGACTCCCGAGGCGAATCCAGCGGTGGCGACGAGGGCCTCCCAGGAGGCCCAACGAGGCGCAAACGAGGCAAGGGTAGCGGTATGTGTGTCTGGAGAACCTGGGGCGGATCGGGAAAGGAGACGCTGCCATGAGCTCTCGGTGGCACGGAGGGCGTGGCCCTGCAGGTAGGGGTGACCTTTGGTGTGCAGCTTGGGGGGGGGGCTGCGGGGGAGGGAGGGGGCCAGATCCAAGCGCGTGGGCCAGTGCCTGAGGGAGCCCTGGTGGGCCCGCACCAAAGGTCAATTTGGCGAAGGGTCGCTCTCACGCGCAGCTGAATCTTGGTCCTGCAGGATCTGCCTCGTGGCAGCCCAACGCGCTGGGACAGCGCAGTAGAACATGATCGACCCACGAACCCGGAAAGGAATATAGAAATGTAAGGCATTGTAACATTTCAAAGACACCTGATTGGGCGACGGGCACATGCAATGCTAAATGTATCGATGATGATGTACTGTGCCGAGGGCTGTGCTGTGCTACGCCGTGCTGAACTGCGATGTGCCATGCCGCGATTGTTTTCTATATAGCGTTGTGGATCGAGTCCTCCCTGGCATCCGAGTCCTCACCGAACTGATCTGGAGCGTAAGCTCGAGCTGCTCAGGATGGTAGCTGCCCCAGAATTAATCGACAGAGGGAACATGCCAAGAGGACGCGCCGCGGAACGTCCCAAGGGACGCGCCAGGCGACGTGCCAGGGGACGTGCCATGGGGACGCACCGTGGGACGTGCCAAGGGGACGCGCTACGGAACGTGCCAATGGACGTGCCGAGGGACGTGCCATGGGACGCGCCGCGCGACGTGCCAGGTGGACTCGCCACGGAACGCGCCAAGGAACGTGCCAAAGTGTATAGTTGAGTGTATCGATATTGATGTACCGTGCCGACGGCTGTGCTGTGCTGGGCCGTGCTGAACTGCGATGCGTCATGCCGCGATTGTGCTCTCTCTCTCTCGTGCCAAAGTGTATAGTTGAGTGTATCGATATTGATGTACCGTGCCGACGGCTGTGCTGTGCTGGGCCGTGCTGAACTGCGATGCGTCATGCCGCGATTGTGTTCTCTCTCTCTCTCTCTCTCTCTCTCTCTCTCTATAGATATAGATATAGCGTTGTGGATCGAGTCCTCCCTGGCATCCGAGTCCTCACCGAACTGATCTGGATCGTAAGCTCGAGCTGCCTGAGCAGATGGTAGCTGCCCCAGAACTAATCGACAGAGGGAACATGCCAAGAGGACGCGCCGCGGAACGTCCCAAGGGACGCGCCAGGGGACGTGCCAGGGGACGTGCCATGGGCACGCACCGTGGGACGTGCCAAGGGGACGCGCTACGGAACGTGCCAATGGACGTGCACCGCGCGACGTGCCAGGGGGACTCGCCACGGGACGCTCCGCGGAACGTGCCAAGCAACATGCCAGGCTGCAATGCTAAAGGTATCGATATTGATGTACCGTGCCGAGGGCTGTGCTGTGCCTGGGCGACCTGGACACGTGAAAACACGCGTTTCGCTCAAGACGTTGTCAGCACATCCTCATGCTAGACATCCGCTTGGGCAACCTGGACACGTGCAAACAAAGCGTCTCGCTCGAGACATCCTCAACAAATGCTCATGTTAGACATCCGCCTGGGCGACCTGGACACGTGAAAACAAGCCTCTGGTTCGAGACATCCTCAACAAATCCTCATGCTAGACATCTGTCTGGGCCACCTGGAGGCGTGAAACCAAGCGTCTCGCTCGAGGCATCCTCAAGACCAGGGCACGAATCCACTTGAGAGATCCTCAGAATTCAGCCCCCAGGAGAGGACAATCTATAACACAAAACAAGCGTTTCGCTCGAGACATCCTCAACAAATTCTGAAAAACAAGCGTTTCGCTCGAGACATCCTCAAATCCCACCAGCCCTTTGGGCGTGAGTGGTTCAGCGAGCTCTCTCTGTCCTCAACCCCCCTTCTTCCCCTTCGGGGAGGGGTTTACCCCTCCCCCTCCCCCCTCCCCCTGGGCCTGGAGGGGGTGTTCCGCGGGTCGCCGGGGGGGTCTTTTTCGACTCCTCGGAGGGCTAAAAAACGACACCCCTCACGAGGATTCTGGCCCCGACGGGGGGACGGAGATAAGGTACCCTCCTCTTCCTTGAAGCCAAAAACATTGATTTTACTACGGTTTTGGCTCCATTTGGCCCTTCTGAGGGGGCAGCGCTCATGCAAGCTCCCCCCTCCCGTCAAGGCAATATTATTGATTTTACTAAGGTTTTGGGCTCATTTTGCCCTTCCGAGGGAGCAGCGCTCATTAAAGCTCCCCTCTTCTTGGATCCATGCCCTCCAAGATGGCCCCCCGAAGCGCCCAGGAGGCACCAAGAGGCCCCAAGATGGCCCCAAGAGGCCCCCCGGAGGCCCCCAACCGGGCGCGCCGGGCGCGCCGGTCGCGCCGGTCGCGCCGGTCGTGCTGATCGTGCCGGTCGCGCCGGTCGCCGGTGCCGGTCGCGCCGGTCGAGCCGGTTGTGCCGGTCGCGCCGGTCGCGCCGGTCGCGCCGGGTGCGCCGGTCGCGCCGGTCGCGCCGGTCGCGCCGGTCGCCGGTGCCGGTCGCGCCGGTCGCGCCGGTCGCGCCGGTGCCGGTCGCGCCGGTTGCGCCGGTCGCGCCGGTCGCGCCGGTCGCAATCGCGCTGGTCGCGCCGGTGCCGGTCGCGCCGGTCGCGCCGGTCGCGCCGGTTGGTTCTAGTTCGGTCCCCTTTGGCCGCGACGCCCTCTCGCGAACCTAAAACAGCCAATTCACTAATCGACGTGTCAGGGTAGGAGGTCTATCCTCCTCCGAATCCACGTCCGGAGGGAACGCGCTGCTGGAAGCAGGCCCGCGGAGGCTGCAATGCCACAGATCCCGTGCGCCCCATCCACCACCGTGCTCCCTGGCACTCTGCGGCGTGGAAGCATACAGTCGGGGCCTTGACCTAAGGAACCCCAAATAAGGAACGGGGCTCCCTTTTTTCCATAAATTAAACTTCGACTTCCGATCGCAAACGTAAGGAACGCCTGAGGCAAGCTGCGAAGCACTTCAGGAACGCGGAGCCCCTCCCCAACGAAAAGGGTTCCTTCTTCAGGGCCCCGACTGTACCAAGGTCTGCCCGGTATCAGGAGGACGTAAGACCTGGGTACAGGGGACTCGGAAATCCCCGACGAGATCGTCAACAAAAATGACGAGGCCGAGCCTGCATTTTGACGAGGCCTCCCGCTGCAGACATCCCACGAAACTCCTCCTCGTCAAAATCCGAGGCGCGGTCGTCAAAAAACGATGGCGAACCCGAGTCCTGGCAAATCCAGGTCTTACGCTCCCCCGACACTTAAGGAACGCGGAGCCCCTCCCCGACGAAAAGGGTTCCTTCTTCAGGGCCCCGACTGTACCAAGGTCTGCCCGGTAGGGTCATTTCTGAATTCTGAGAGGGGACGGCCCCTCCTCCACCGGGAGCCTCCCGCTTGCATAGCTCCACCTCTCCGAGGCCCCTCGCGCAGCTCCCGCTCGCAGGCAGTGCGCTTCCGGCATGGCAGCGGATGCGGAATCCACCATGCCAGGCGTGCCCGCTCGAGGACGGTGTACTTCCCGCGTGGCAACTCATGCCTCAACCCTCCTTCCATGCGCGCCCGCTGGGGGATTGTGCACTTGCCGCATGGCAGCTAATGCCCGAATCCACCTTCCACGCGTATCCGCTCGAGGATGGTGCATGTCCTGGATGGCACCCGATGCCCGACTACTCATTCCATGCCTGAACCCCATGGCTCAAGCTTGTCGGCCCGGGTGGCTGCCTCATGAGTAGGCGGCAAGAAGCGCTAGCGGCAGGACGAGGTGCTTACAGAATCCCCCAGACCTCGCCCTCGGCAGCAAAACACGTGGTGAGCGTGCAGGCTTCGTGCAATTTTCACCTGTCGTTGCTCCGTGCGCGCCCGCTCGAGGATTGCGCTCTTCCCGCATGGCTGCTGCCTTCGAGATCCGTGGCCCCACGCGCACCCGCGCGAGGAGCGTGCGCGTCCCGGCATTCCACAGGCGCTGATCCCAAGCGCCTCAGAGCATCCCAAGCCACGATCCCTCGTCAAGAGCGATGGATGTGGGCCCCGAGCTTCCAAGACGGCCCGCGCAGGCAACCAAGGACACCAAGATGGCCCAAGATGCCTCGAAGACGGCCCAAGATGGCCCCCATGGGGCCGAAGATTGCCTCGCGACTGCCCAAGATGCCTCCAAGAGGGCCCACAAGGGCAACACCAGGACCTCCAACAGGGTCCGAAGAAGCCCAAATCATTGATCCCATCTTACTTGTTTGCATGATTTGGGCATTCTCGCGTTTTCGGGCTACCGTCAGCTCAAGACGGCCAAGGGGTACTCCACGATGACCTAAGAGGCATCCAAGACGGCCCCAAGAAGGCCTCGCGTGGGACCCAAGACGGCCTTAGAAGGCCAATGGACGGCCCAAGACGGCGCCAAGACGGACCCAGACACCCGCCTTACGACCACGAGGGCCCCAAGACGGCCCGAGACAACCCCAAGCAGGCGTAAGAGGGCCGCAAGACGGCTCAAGAGAACCCCAAGGGACCCCCAAGACTGCCTCACGAGGCAAAGGCAGCCCCAAGACGGCCCAAGTGAGTTTCATCATCATACTTCTTTATCATCATCGTCATCATCATCATCATCATCATCATCATCATCATCATCATCATCATCATCATCATCATCATCATCATTACCATCACCAACCACCACCTCCATACTCATCAGCATCAGCATCATTATCAGCAGCATCATCATGAAAAACATCATCATCCTCATCCTCATCCTCATCCTCCTCAGCATCATCATCAGCATGATTATCAACCTCATCATCATCGCCATCATCACCATCATCGCCAGCATCATAATCAACATCAGCATCCTTATCGTCATCATTATAAGCAGCATCAGCACAATGAACATCATCATCATCACCATCACCATCATCATCATCATCATCATCATCATCATCATATCATCGTCATACTCATCATCAGCATCATCATCGACATCATCAGCATCATCCTTACCATCGTCACCACCACCATCATCATCGTCATCATCATCATCATCAATACCATCACCTGTATCATCACCGGCATCATCAACAATAGTATCATCATCCCGTCCTCACCATCATCATCACCATCACCATCACCGTCGCCATTCATATCACAATCATCATCGTGATCGTCATCACCATCAACATCGTCGTCATCATCATCACCATTGTCAGCATCATCATCATCATAATCAGCATCATCACCATCACCAGTAAACCTCATCTCAGTCAGCAATATCATAATCAGCATCATCATCATCAGACTCATTATCATCATCAGCAGCATCATCATAAACAAAAACATCAATATCATCATCGCCATCACGATCACCATCAGCGATGATGCTCATCATCGGCATCACCCCCATCATCCCCATAACCCTCTCTACGACTCTTCCAAGTCTGGAGGCAAGAGGTGTCACACGTGACGGCCTCACCCGCCCCCACGAACAATCGCCACCCAGGAGGATAGGCTGGCACGGTGGAGGGACTTGCCGAAGGCAACTGAATCTTACAAATATACAGAGCCATCGCGCGCGAACTCCAACCGTGTCCCCTTCCTTTTTGGAGCTGCCTTGGGGCTGTCTTGCAGGCTTCATGGGGCATCTCAGCCTCAGGATGTGCATGGGCACCTCGGCCTTGGAACATACATGCGCACCTCGGCTGTTTTGCAGGCTTCATGGGGCACCTCGGCCTCAGAATTCGCATGGGCACCTCGACCTTGGAACATGCATGGGCATCTCGGCCTGGGCATTGGCATGGGTACATAAGTACTCAATGTACATGGTCACCTTGTCCTCTGAATTTCCACTGGTACCCAAGCCTCGAAATGTGCATGGACACCTAGGCCTTGCAATTTGCGCAAGCTCCGCGGAGACCCAGGGGGGCGCAGGGGTCGTGTATCCTTCTCTTCCTCCTCCGCCTCCTCCTCCTC